CAAAGCATAAAAGCTTATTTTCCTCATTGTGGTACGTTACTATTATGCAGCAAATTGTGAGAAAATGTCTTGTTTTGCTCAAGGCTCTAAAAGTTTTCAAAGGTGTGGCAACCAGCTATTTTTCACACATCAGTTTGGAGATACTGTTAAGGACTGGGCCGGTGGTGTGCCACTTTTTGAGCTGCGTTAATTAGCTTGTCCTTCCTGGCATATCTAACGGAAGATGTAGTATTCAGAACTAATGTTACATTAGCGCAAGTTCTAATGCTGCAGGCCAAAACAAAAACAGTCTGGCTTTGTCTAATTGGATAACATGATCGGATTGCCACTTTAATTTGCATAAATTTGGACAGATACCACCATGGCTGTTGAGCCAGAAAGGCCCATAGCGCCTGGCTGCAGGATCTCCTCTCAGGGCTCCTCTTAGGGTACTGGGTTTGTAAACCTAAGGTTGATCAAGGGCACTACTGTTGCACCTTTGAGCAAGGTACTGAAGTTAAATTAAGTAAAATATCAAGCTGTATAAACGAATAGAGTGCAGGAATGTAAACTCTGTAAGTAAGTACTCTGGATAAGAGTGTCTACTAAGTGTTGTCTGGAAGAAACCTTTTGGGAACAGCCTATATAGCCTGGTGGCTAAGGTGGTAGACTGGGTAGGTTGATGGTCCATTACATTACATTACATTACATTACAGTCATGTTGCAGATGCTCTTATCCAGAGCAACTTACAACTCAAAGTACATTAAGCCAGGGATGAGAGTGCTCTAGCAACTGCTTCAAGCACCTTGAGCAAGGCGTTTAACCCCACAATAACATGTTGTCTTTTTTCATCAAAATTATAATTTAAACTTTCTCACCTATCAAGAGTGAACAAATAAACAGGGAGCAAATAAACAGTCAGGTCCAAGAAACATATTTCTCGATGCTATATGAATGTCTTTAAATCTTTATTCAAAAGCAAATCATTCTAAAAAGGCTGAAAGGCTAAACCTTTTGACGCAAGATCATTTAATTGCTCATTTGTCATTTGAAACGCAGGTTTTGTTAGCATGTTTAAGTGGAAACAAGTAAATATATTATATTTTAATAAGAACTTCTCATATCCTAATTAAATGTAAAGCATAAAAGACTGGTTACACATGGCCAGAATTTGTAGTAGTTTGTAATAGTAATTAATATGTTCATATAATTTTGTGGGCGGTTGTGGGTTTACCTGGCTGCTGTTCTCCTGGGTTGGATGGTGGGTTCTGGTCCAGTGTGGTTCTGGATTTTATGTTCTGTATGCAGTCAACATTTTCATAGATTTCATCGCTCATCTCCATTGTCAAGAGAATGATTCTGAAGTCTAAAATGTGTTCTGGGTTACATGTGCGTATGTGTTTCTGTTCTCTCCTGTATAGAAAGTGGCACATTATAAATACTCTGTGGGTGAAATGGGAAGTGGTGATATCTGGGACATTATGTACATTTCACCACTGATATTCTACAGCAGGCCAGACACACGTTGATGTTTTTACAGAGAAAAAGGTGGTTTTGATGGACAGATTGGGTTTGTCAACAGACCAGGGGGCATATATGTGTATGAGTTAAATATACATTTAGATATCTACACTGATATCAGAAAGCATATTTTATAACTAAGAGGTGTGCAGGTGCACAGCAGCCTTCCAGGTCATGTGAGACTCTGGTGTATAAAAAAAAAAACAACAACATACACTATCAGCTTGTAAATTGTGTGAAACCCTGCATGCTTATAGAAGGGTGATGGAATGATCTTATATTGTGTCTTACTGACAAGTGCTTTGCTTCAGTTTAATTAACAATTCAAAGTAAAGACAATTTATGTGCTTGGGCTTGTATGCTTGTTTGAAAAAAGGAAAACCGTTCTTTGTGAAATGTAGACGTCGCCTCGTGACACCGTGGTCCTTGAAAGAGCAGACGGAGTGAAAGCAAATACGTGCCGTGGCAATTATTGGAAGTTTTACAGTACTTTTGAATGAAAACCACTCATCTTGCAGTCTGCTACTATGCGACCAAGTAGATTACTGGATGCAAATTTAGGCATTTCCGGTGTAGGCAACTCATTATATCATATTTCATTTATTTTTGTATAATTTGTATATAATTTTACCATGATGTTGTGTAAGTACTGCAAACTACTGTTAGACCACACAAGTACAATGTATTATCCCCTTTAGCTGTATACAATTAGCACATGATAACATTGTCCACCATCCATCAGTCCCTTTAGCTGTGAGTTGCCAAAAATGATTTGATGTACATAAAAGCAATACAATACAATACAAGATCAACTGTAACCTGAACACATCAGTTCACAGCATGATTGAAATTTCTTCTGCAATTTAATGACATCAGATAGATAACAAAATTAAAGATATGAATATTAAATAGAAAACACTGTAAATGATACTGGAACAAGAGGTCTGAATGACACTGATCTTGTCAAGGTTTCTCACAGACCCAGTGTGTTTTCAAGGCACAGGAAAAGTCATTCCAGGACTGCAGAATGCTCTTCTCTGGTTGGATTGCAACACAGTCCTCATTATTATAATCATCAGGCTGTCCGCTTCTCCAGTACCTTAAAACAACACAGAAAACAGTAGCAGATTTTAACCAGGAACAGATTAAGTCAGTCCCTCCAGTATTTTGCAAGACTGCAACCACAGGATTTCACACTCAATCAACAAACTATTTCATTTCTTCACTATGCGGCACATTTTCCATTTTACCACAAATTTTCACATATCCCTGCATCATCACATAGTTGCAAAATAATTCAATTCTGACAAGTAATTGAATAATTTCAATAAATACAATTAACCTGCAAACCTTGCACAGTTTCACGCACACACTCCACTTCCTTCCGATGGACATAAAAGCTTAAATGAATTAAGAATATTCTTCTCTGTGATTGTAACAAATACTAACCAAATTTAAATGTAGTTAAACCACTTATAAATCACATTTTCCATCATATTTTAATGACAAAGACCAAGCAAAGCAATGTCCATTGTATTACAATGGCAGACCATAGTAGTTGTCATCCTTCATGGATTGTTTCTTTAAGCTGCCATCGTTGTTACTGTTTAAATGACCTGTCAGTATATCTTCTATGTGTAAGTTGTCTCTACACAGAGTGTGTGTGAGGTACACCAGAGATTGGGTCTCGAGCCAGTGACTCGGACTCAAGTCACACTTTGTCGCGCCTACACAGACTCAAGACTCGACTCGCAACTCGTCCTGTAATGACTTGACACTCGACTCGGACTCATCAATAATGACTCGTAAACAAGAAGGGTCTTAAAAACACTGCCACGTGCCATCGTGAAAATGCTGAAAAGAGGATTTAGTTAGGCACATAGTTGGACAGATAATTAGTTAACGCTTGTTTTTTTTTTTTTAGTTTTCCTTCTGACAGGACATGCTACAAACAGTGAGTTAGTTTGCTCACTCAAATTACTTAAATTTACAACTCCATCCATGGTGGAAATTTTAAGACTCTTGTGAGGTTAAGAGGGACTAAGAATTGGATAATTAAATCAAAACTATGTGACGATGCAGTCCATTCCCAGTGAGTGGTGAACAGATTTAGGGGTATTACTGTAAGGGAGATCAAAGGGGCTCTTTTTTAATTTTCTAAATGAGATGGATGCACCAAGTTCTTCCCTTTACTGTTTGTATGGGAAAGCTTGAGAATGAAACCAAAGTACTGTGTCCTGCGCGCCCTGGTAGCTCATCCGGTAGAGCGCATGCCACATAAGGCCAGGCCTTACCGCAGTGGCCCAGGTTCGAATCCGGCCTGGGTCCTTTGCTGCATGTCCTCCCCTCTCTCTCTCTCTCCTGCATTTCCTGTCTGTCTCTCTACTGTAACTGTCAATAAAAATCAGGGGGAGTGCTTATCATCAGGTTTGGTTGCACCCACCCTGCAGCCCAGCAAAGTAGGTCAACTTCCTTAAAGTGCCTTCATCAATGAGATTCAGAGAGCACTGGTGAGTGTTTTTTGGTAGCAGTCTTTTATCTGCCAGTACAAGAGGGCAGTCAGAGTTTGACCAACCTGGTAAGTAATGTTTTCACTGCAGGCAGCCCAGTGACTATTATACCAGCCTGAGGTGAGCTGGAGGAAGACTGTGTTCTTTTTAGGTGGACTGCAAGGCTGAATCTAGAACAGCATTTGTTCTTGATGTGACTGAAGGGTATAAATTTGACAGGTACTAGTCCTGTTCACAGATTACTAGTGCAGGCCTTGCAGATGCTCTCAGCAGCCAGGAGGGGGGTCACCCACTGCTGGGGCTGGTGCTTTTTCTCTCTGCTGGGGTCCAATGCTGGTTTATAACTGCTGGGTGTGTAACCTTGGCCATTTGAGAACAGGAGGAGGAAACGGCTTATGAACTTCTGAGATGCTTTCTGAACAAATAGGAATACACTCACATGGGCTGATGGAAAGCGTCTCAGGAAATGGATGTATGTTTTACCAGCAGAAGTGATTGAGGCTCTGTAACAGTGTTTACTTGGTTCTTACCTTGTGGTCACTGCTGTCCCATCCACCCACTTCCAGGTCCCCTCTTCTTCACTATCAGTCAGGCCGATCCAGATATTTCTAAAGGATGTGAAAAATGTCTGAAAGAGCAAACAGATTTGAAACAAATTTCAACCTTGCTGCAGTGATTAAACCCCTCATTACTACATGTGCTTTATTAGTCACCACCATCTTGAATCCATTTTGTATTGTATTTACTCATCGACTAACTATATCATGTGATCATATTCAATTATCATGGCCAAAATATTTTTACGTGTGTTTGCCCTTCACTTCCTGCTCCGTGCCTTATTACCTGGTCATACTTGGGATGCCAATTTTGTGCAATTCTTTTAATCGGTAGTTGAGACTTGTCAATCCAATATTCACAATTAACTGATAAGCTTAATATCTGCCATAACCTATGAAAATAATGAATCAAAATAGGCCTATCAATGTTTTTATTACAGGCTGGGTAAACTCCTCCGCTGAAGTTTCTTAGTAACGCTGAAATGCCTCCACGTGTTAACTTTGAGAGTTTTCATGTCTGGGCACTGATATGTTTGACAGTAATTAATGAGCAACAAAATATTATAGCCAACATGACGTTATTTATTGAAACTGTTTATTGAAATGTAAGTGTTCAATCGTTATTCATATTAAAATTAGTCGACATTCTTATTCACGAATAACAGTTAACCAATAAACTGTTAACATTCCCACCTCCTGAAAAAGGTAACACAAAAAGGTAAGACATTTCGATGATGAGTGTTGAGTGGCGAGTGTCATGAATGGCTACGTTCCAATCCGAAAAAATGCTTGCTTCTTCGTGCTCACTCACCCTCCAATGTTTGTTGACATATAAACACAATCCTCCTCCTATGGTACTTTTTCACAGCTGGCAATGTGAAACCTCCATCCTACTGTTGTATGCTGGTAACTCACTCTGGTCCAGCCCAGAAAGAGTGTGATTCATAATTATTTGGTATTTGTAGTTGACTTGAGCTCAGTGACTCAAACTGAATTTTGCAATGATGTTGAGATCTTTCATCCTATCTCACTATTGTTGCCAAATTGAGATATTCATTCACACATGATGAGACATATCTAACAATGGATGATGTCATTGGAGTGTATTAATTCTTCCACCCATTAGCTGATTTCTATGAAATGTTGCATGTCCCTCTCTCTCTCTCTCTCTCTCTCTCACTCTGTGCTAAGGACAAGGCCCTTTTACACACTTGAAGAAAAGAACCCATTGAGCTTGGTTAGACTGAAGCTGTTTGGCCTCCTGAACATAGGCCAGGTTCTTATGATCCGCTCAATCCTCTCCAAACAATGACTCCACTCCTCCAATGCTTATATTCACTTAAAGCAGTACTCTGGTGTCTCCACTCCTCCAATGATAGTTTCACTACTAACTGTTCTTTGGTGTCTCCACTCCTCAATGCTAGTTTCACTGCCAGCAGTTCTCTGGTGCCTTCGTCATAATTCCTTTACGCAGGAGAAAGCTGATGGGAAAAATCACATGTAAAACTTTGTGTGGTGGTCAAGTGTCATTAGACACATTTACATGGACACAAGTAATCCGATTGCAATTGGACTGACGGCTCAATCGGAATAGAAGGGCTCGTGCAAACACCTTGATCAGAATGAAATTGCCTGATCTGATTGAAATTTCAATCGGATTGAAAGGGGTGGTGTTCTCTATTCCGAGCACATTTTTGGTCATGTAAACATTGGATTGCTTCTTGCAGTTAGGTGGTTTGCGCATGTGCTGTAGCTTGTCACATGGACATTTTAAATTCACCGTCAATCAGTCCCATTATTTGGGGAATATTATATTCTTCCTCATTGGGTGATCTTATGAGGTGTTCGATCAACCCTTCTATCATGTCCCTGCAAAATAGTGTGGCGTCAATCCGATCACTTTTGTAGCGTTGTATACGACACGATTGGAATGACCTTATCGGAATGATTGTAATCGGATTAAAAACAAAACCTGTCTCATGTAAGCTCAGCTATTGGGAGCCAGAGTCCATGTTCTGGAAAAGATTTTCCAGCAATACCTTTTAAGATTCCTGTGAATTTTTCCTTTTGAGGACAGAGCAAAGTTATTGGACTCCTGGGCAAAATTTTACATTCATGCAAGTGAACCAGTCCCCATCAACACTATGGCAATAGCATTACTGAATCACCCAAAAACCAAAAAAGACCTGTATGTGAGTGTATTTTGCACATGTGTTTACATATGAGCAAGTGATGTGTGGGTATATTTCATCATTCACTGTCCCTCAGACTGCAAGAAGCTAAACTGCACATGTAGCACTCCATTTTCTCCCGCAGTGGTAATTTAAATGTCTCTATTGGGGAGACTGATAAAAAATGGGCAGACCTGATTGAATGTAGGATTTTCCTGATTCCTTTATATTTTGTGCTGCAGCTCTGTCTCCACCCCTGCAGAGGGCAGTGTAGGCACAGCCTTTCCTCAATAGGCAGCCACAACTACCGGTGAGGGCCTTTCTCAAGGCCCAGTCTACATTCTGTGTATGGTGGATCTGTGTATATTTGCGGTCACCATGGTCAGGTAAGCTGCCAGGGTGACTGTCCTTTAGAGCCATTTTTGGTTATGATTTGGTGTTACTGTTTGTTAGTGAATTAAGTGTCAGCACCAGCTGACTGAGGGGATTCGGTCAGTTACTCAATTCGTGACATTGCAGGACTTTCAATTTTAATGAAAATTTAAATGTAAATTTGCCTTTTTATGGCATATGAATAGCCAAGTGCTCTCTTTTGGTTCATTCTCTGCAAGATTGAAATTGACTAACTTATTTTCAAATATCTGCAATTGTGTTGTGTACATATTCCAATATTTGTCCTTAGAGTGCTGGTGTTCAGTTCATCGATATTAAAGAGAGGTGGCAGGGTGGTCAAATGTGCAGCAATTTGATAGAATACAGTTTAATACCTTTATTCAATACATTGTGCTTAGCAAGGAGGGGTGTGAGTCTTGTGTTAAAAATGGCACAGAGAACCTTCCTCTGGTTACTGTTTACATAAATGCCTCTGTAGAAATTGGGGTCAAATTTATCTCCATTTTTAAAAATAGGGGTTATGACTTACTGGATGACAGATTAAACTTTCTCTCTCACCTGTTCCTCTTCGTTGTTAATTATGACCAGATCAGCTCCTCTCTCTCTGCAGTGTTGTCGGCTCGCACTCCAAGTCTTTTCTTCACTAGAGACATAGTAACATCTGGAGCGGAGCCTTAACCAGTCCTGCGGACATGGATGTTCTGAAACACACGAGAGGAACAGTTGTGGTGCATACACATGTGTAGATTTTCAAACGTATATTCATATGTAATTTACATGTGTGTGAAAAACATCAGTATCTCACATTTATGGTATTTAAACATACAGAATGGTTTACCTACCCTGGTCTCTCTCTGCAATAACGAGGCTCTTGAAATGAGCCTGTAGCTGGTCTCTCTCTACTATTAGGCTGCTGTAGTTGGTCTGAAGCTGGTCTCTCTCTGCTGTTAGGCTGTTGTAATTGGTCTGTAGCTGGTCTCTCTCTGCTGTTAGGCTGCTGTAATTGGTCTGTAGCTGGTTCAGGGTTTCAGACAGTGTGCTGTGCTTCTCCATGGTATCATTTAGCACTCCATTGTCTACAGAGGAAGGGAAAACCATAGTGCTGTTTACTGAATTAATCATGAGCCACATCACTGAACCAATAACCACAGACCAGCAGCAGGTTCAATGGAGACAGTATGCTGAGTTGTGGTTGGTAGCAGATACAGAGAAGTAAGTGAGGCTCACTGGTGTGCTACAGTGATATGGGGGCACTAGATGTACTGTATATCTCAAACAGAACTACTGTACATTCATCATTTGTCAATAAAATAACTAATACATCAAGAGGAAACAAATGAAATATGATGAGCCCTCTCATGACCACTCCAGTTGCAGATAATAGCTGCCAATGATCAGATGGTAACCTTATCTGTAAAACTCCTAATATCCATACGGATCCTGGTTTTGTGCTGGTACTCAGCCCACCCCTAATACAGTGATGATGGTCAGTAACTGATACTCACAGTGGATACAGAGGAGGCATGTCATGTGGTCAGTAACAGAGACAGTGGATACAGAGTAGGGGTGTGTTGTGGTCAGTAACAGATACTCACGGTAGATACAGAGTGCTGTGATGATGATCAGCAGTAGAACGGTCAGTAGCCCCAGACACACTGCAGTCAGTCTGTAGGTTCTTATTCCTGCAGATTCAGATC